GAACATGTCCCCGAAGGGGCCAAGCATTTCCCTAAATGGGCCGAACATGTCCCCGAAGGGGCCAAGCATTTCCCTAAAGGGGCCGAACATGTCCCCGAAGGGCCAAGCATTTCCCTAAAGGGGCCGAACATGTCACCGAAGGGCCAAGCATTTCCCTAAAGGGGCCGAACATGTCCCCGAAGGAGCCAAGCATTTACCTAAAGGGGCCGAACTTGTCTCCGAAGGGGCCAAGCATTTCCCTAAAGGGGGCAAGCATCCCAAAGGAGCGGAATGCATCCCCAAAAAGATGGATACCACCTTGAATACTGGATCATGCAGGTAATGTGGAATTAGACAGGGAGTTTAGTGAAAAAAACAAATACAGTAAGACACGAGATGGAAAAAAAGCCAAATAATAATAATAATAATAATTAAAAAAAAAACAGTCAAGCTGTTCGCAACCAAGATAGCGAGAACAAGGAATGACTGAGGAGCACACCAAAAAAAATGGAGCTTTCCAGAACAGATTGGAAGATGTCCACACCCCACCCCCTCCACAGCATACTCACGAGGTAGGCAGCGATGCCGGCTCCGATGAGGAAGCCCGCATAGACGTCGATGGGATGGCTGCGGTACTGGGTGATCTGCGTGAGGCCGGTGAGGCCAGCCGCAATAGCAAAGGCGAAGACCAGCACCGGCTTGAGCAACTTGGTGCTGTCTGAGATGGTGGAGTTGAAATACATCTGGAATGAGGCCAGAAGAAATCAACAGGGATATCTGAGTAACCTTAATAGCCATTGACCAATTTTTTATGATCGCTTATCTAGTACAAGGCTAGTGTGAAGCTGGAACCTATCCCAGGAAACACAGGCCAAGATACTGGGGACATGCAGGATGGGATGCCAGTCCATCTCAGGGCAGGGGACACGAAGGGTGGGATGCCAGTCCATCACAGGGCAGGGGACAAGCAGGACGGGATGCCAGCACATCACAGGGCAGGGGACACGCAGGATGGGATGCCAGTCCATCACAGCGCAGGGGACATGCAGGATGGGATGCCAGTCCATCTCAGGGCAGGGGACAAGCAGGACGGGATGCCAGTCCATCTCAGGGCAGGGGACACGCAGGACGGGATGCCAGCACATCACAGCACAGGGGACACGCAGGATGGGATGCCAGTCCATCACAGGGCAGGGGACACGCAGGACGGGATGCCAGCACATCACAGCGCAGGGGACACGCAGGATGGGATGCCAGTCCATCACAGGGCAGGGGACATGCAGGATGGGATGCCAGCCCATCAAAGGGCAGGGGACACGCAGGGTGGGATGCCAGTCCATCACAGGGCAGGGGACACGCAGGGTGGGATGCCAGCACATCACAGGGCAGGGGACACGCAGGGTGGGATGCCAGTCCATCACAGGGCAGGGGACACGCAGGATGGGATGCCAGTCCATCACAGGGCAGGGGACACGCAGGATGGGATGCCAGTCCATCACAGCGCAGGGGACATGCAGGATGGGATGCCAGTCCATCACAGGGCAGGGGACACGCAGGACGGGATGCCAGTCCATCACAGCGCAGGGGACATGCAGGATGGGATGCCAGTCTCATCACAGCGCAGGGGACACGCAGGATGGGATGCCAGTCATCACAGGGCAGGGGACACGCAGGATGGGATGCCAGTCATCACAGCGCAGGGGACACGCAGGATGGGATGCCAGTCATCACAGCGCAGGGGACACGCAGGATGGGATGCCAGTCCATCACAGGGAAGGGGAGACTCAGGACGGGATGCCAGTCCATCACAGCGCAGGGGACACGTAGGGTGGGATGCCAGCACATTACAGGGCAGGGGACACGCAGGATGGGATGCCAGTCCATCACAGGGCAGGGGAGACTCAGGACGGGATGCCAGTCCATCACAGGGAAGGGGAGACTCAGGACGGGATGCCAGTCCATCACAGGGAAGGGGAGACTCAGGACGGGATGCCAGTCCAATCGCCAGGGCGATTTGTTTTCATGCTCTAACTATATAGACTTGCACTCATGGCCTCCTGGCCAGCTACATAGTTACAATGAAAGCTTCTGACAGAAATACTTACAGAAATATACACTGCAGCAAAAGAGGACAGTGTTGCATGCTGGGAAGGGAAGGTCTTCCTAAAACGAAACAGGAAATAAGAAAAAGGGCTTCAGTGAGACTATAACAAACATCTGGAGCAGCAGAAGAATTAAAATTCATGCCACTTCATCCATCGAACCTCATCCCAAAGACTGAGAGAAACATATTGTTTTAACACTTAAATGGCCCATTTTTGGTGCAATAAATCTGTACAAATTTATCATGAAACTGCTGTCGGGTAGTTACCTTGCAGAAAGGATAGCGTGCTGATCCACCCCCGAGCATATATCTCGGGTGATGTAGGGGTTTTTATCACAGGACACTCCGGGGAGGGTGTAGTTGGGCTTACAGACAGTAAGGAAGAATGGGGCATGATATCCTGTGGCCAGCTGGATGACATCTGTCACCAGAGCTGTGGCACACAGCCCAAACACATGGACACCTTGGGAAGGAGAGGGAGTAGATCAGGCACCCCGCTTCACCCCTAATCAATCACCAGCTGAGGAATACCACACATCTGACAGAAGCAGTCCTCATGTTCGATGTCAATAATACCATCCTGTCCCTTGGCTCACTAGTTATTACAGCTCACAGTTTTTCCTTACTATTTTTCTCCTGCAAGACTGTCAGTGAAAGAAGAGGTCAGCGGAGCCTCTATCTGGTAGCCAGTGTGCACTAACCCACGCATGAAAAATTATACTTAGTTTTGTACATTTAATTCTGAGTCATTCTGCACGTACCGTATCTATGGTTTCCAAGTTATAGGGTCAGAAGGAGATATGTGTCTATTTTTGTCGTAGGGTTTGTCTTTGACAACACAGTCTTGTTAGTCTTTTTTTGTCAAACACTTGCAGGAATAAAGTATGTAATTTCAGTTCATGCCCTTTTTTTGAGCTAACATCTGCATTAATTTCTGTGTCAGCTAACTAAAAAATTTAAAATCAGCCACTTTCTCCTTTGAACTTTTCTGATTGCTTGAGTTATTTTTTAATATTGTCCAGTCACCAAGAAGGTTGCCCTTTATGATTTTGTTCCCATTTTGGTAATTTATCACAATTCCTACGTGTGGCACGAAGATGGACTGAGAAAAAAAAAACATTAATATGTGTGAGTAAGCAAGGTGCCCCACGGCACACCATTTTATTTTAGTACAGATGGAAATGCGCCTTGACATTTTGAGTGAGTTCATCTTTTACCACACAAATGTCCACAAAAATCAGCAACAAAGCAAATGGCTTTGCACAGACAGCCTGTAGTTGTATAATTAGCCATGTTCCTGCTTTGAGTATTGAATTATTGCTAAACAGTCTTCTGCAGGCACTACGTGAAGGACCATCAATGATCACATGATCAAAGCCGAGAATCCAGGGGGTATTGAGGCTCACACTCTCCGGTGTTTATCTGCAGCTCGAGTAATATAGGGATTGGTGGGTTCAGACTGACATGAAGCTCAGGAGGGGGGAGGCAGGGAGACTCACCCACAAATCGGACAGTTCTGCGCAGGAACGAGTTGAAATTGCAGCCACCGGCGTTGATGCTGCCTTCAGAACCTGGGCGCATCTTCATGCGAGACTGCATACAGTAGACTAGCCCCTCCCCCATCATGATCTGGAGGAGAAACCACATGCGTAAAGTCACCAAGGGGATGGATTAGGGGTGGTCTGGGGATGGACTCTAGGGCGGTTCTAGGAGTGCTCTAGGGAATGGTCTAGTGCAGGGGTGTCGAACTCCAGTCCTGGAGGGCCTGAGTCCTGTATAGCTGTTCCACAACAACTGATTCAGCTCAAGAGCTGTGTGGTAATTAGCACAAGGAGTTGAATCAGGTGTGTTAAATGAGGGGAAACCCAAAAATGTGCAGGGCTGCGGTCCTCCAGGACTGGAGTTTGACACCCGCGATCTAGGGGGTGCCCTAGGTGCTGTAGGTGATGGTCTAGGAAGCCCTCTAGAGGATGGTCTAGGGGCAGTCTATGGCAGAGATTCTTCACCCATGGGTCGCAACCCAAATTTGGGTCACAGCAAGTTCTCAAACGGTTGCGAGGCAGAGTTGGAAATGTAAGCATTTTAAAACTAGCAAGCTCCTATGCTGATCCATAAACAGATTTCCCAGCATCAATGCTAGAATTGGATTGTAAACCAATAGGCCAATAAACGGGTCTTGGGTCTGCAAGTACTTAGCACAAAACTAGTGAACACTCAACCAATCCAAGAAGCCAAACCACAGATGCTTAATTTAAAATTCACTGGCACATCCAATCATATTTGTGCAATAGCGTTAATTTAACCCTATATTTGATATACGGTCGCGACTGAGCTGGCATTGTAAAAATTAGGTCGTGGTACAAAAAAGGTTGAGAAACACCACTACTCTAAGGGATAGTCTAGAGCAGGGTTCTTCAAATCTGGACCTTGATTCCAAATCCAGGCCTTGTTTTCAGTTCTCCCAGGTAGTTAGTTTTATAATTACTGATTCTGATTGGTCAGAGGCTTCACACCTGACTGACAGGTAAAGGAAGGCTGGAAAACCAGCAGTGCTCAGACCGTGATTTGAATAACCCTGGTCTAGAGTGCTCCAGGGGATGGTCTAGGGGGTGCTCTAAGGGGTGGTCTGGAAGACTCTAGGGGATAGTCTAGAGAACCCTCCAGCGGATGGTCTAGGGGGCACTCTAGGGGATCGTCTAGGGAACCCTCCAGCGCAGGGGTCTTCAACTCCGGTCCTGGAGAGCTACCGTCCAGTAGGTTTTCTATCATACCCAGCTTCTGATGAGCCACACCTGTTCTCAGGTAAATACCAGGACAGAAGTGGGACAGAAAACCTACTGGATAGTAGCTCTCCAGTACCGCAGTTGGAGACCCCTGCTCCAGCGGATGGTCTAGAGCACAGGTGTCAGACTCCAGTCCTGGGGGGCCGGAGCCCTGCACATTTGTGAGTTTCCCCTCGTTTAACACACCTGATTCAACTTCTTGTGCTAATTACCACATAGCAGTTGAGCTGAATCATTTGTGGTGGAACAGGGAAAGAACTAAGCTACAGAGGGCTCCGGCCCTCCAGGACTTGAGTTTGACACCCCTTGTCTAGAGGGCACTCTAGGGGATCTTCTAGGGAACCCTCCAGCAGATGGTCTAGGGGGCGCTCTATTTTTGCTCCTTCCCAGCTCCTAGCCAATCAGAAACTTTCTGTGACTGGGGCTCTCAGGACTGGGCTGGGAAACACTGCTCTAGGGGATACTTTAGGGCAGTGTTTCTGAACCTGGGTCTCAGGGACCCCCTGACAGTCCAAATTTTTACTCCCTCCTAGCTCCATGTCAGACAGTCCACATTTTTGCTACCAGGAGCTGGGAAGGAGCAAAAATGCAGACTGTCTGGGGGTCCTTGAAGACTGATTGGAGAAACACTGCTCTAGGGGGCACTCTAGGAGACACTCAGAAACAAAACGACATGACACTCACGGAAGCAGCAGGTCCGGCAAAGGCCAGACTGAGGAGCATCAGCAGGGGGATGAGCTCGTCGCCGCTGTCAACGTATGGCATGCTTAATGAGCGGTCATGGCAGCGGAAGCCCACTTGCGCTGGCTGCAGGACATCTGTCAACTCTAGGAAGTAGAGGGACACCATAGAGGAGGCCACGATGGGGAGCTATGAGAGAAGAGGTGAGAGAGGAGAGGTCACTGACCCTGGGAGGAGGGAACCAACTGTGACTGGTATGACAAGGAGGTGATTGGTATCACGCTGGAGATACCAATATATGTCCTGAGCACAAGACTAAAATCTGACGGATCTCAAAGGCTGCTGTCACAGTGAAGTGTGTTTGTGTTTCCCTCTGTGTTTATGTTTTGTTTACAGGCTCCTGCCATCTCAGAATTACATCTCTACCCACCTCCACGAAGTAGAAGCAGGGCAGCAGTGTCAAGCTGTCTTTTGGTGGCTTCTTCTTAGGCTTCTCCTTTGAAGACATCATGATGTCGTTTGGCCAGGGCCAACCTGTGGAGGCAGTTCACAGACACTGAGCCTCCAAGGAATGTGAGGCAGCATCGCTTATGGCTCAGGGATGCGAAGGCACATTACTGGCTTAAAATACAGGTGGATGCCATCTGTAATGAGTCAAGGCTAGCCCAGGCCTTTCCAGGAGGCTCCCAGTAATTAGCTTCACTCTCACAGACGTAGCTTAGAGAAGCAACTTTACCAGCCTGCTTGCCTCCAAAAATAACAAGTCTTACTTAACAGATGGCCAATAAAAACAACAAGCCTGGTGCCTTTTCTGTTGCAATGGAGCCCACGTGACCCTCGACTGTACAGTAGAATCACCTTCCTAGCTCCATTTTCCAACATGGTGTGAAGAGATCCCAGGAACACAGACATGGACACTGAAGAGAATTTAGAAATGGCCACCATCTAATTTCACCTCCCAGTGATTTGAGAATATTCATCTGCTTTCAACTAAGAGTTAATGGCTTCTTGGCTTCCATGCAGTGCTGAGAATCTTCCTCTTTGAAGTGATTACATATGAAGGGCTTACGGCAGGTGGTGACACATCACCAAATATTTAATTGACGATAATATTCTTTGCTCATACTAGCTGAACCTCAATTCTCTCCTGACAGCCGAAATCCAGCCAAGCTAAGATCAGCTTTCCCTCGCTGTGCTAATTAGCTTCTCCTCTTCAAAAGTTACACAAGAAAGGTCACTGTAGCAGAGTCAACACTTACCTCTAGCTCTGCTAATCTTTAAACCATGTGGATTAAATATATTAGTTTTATTAGCGATTTAAACAGAGTCTGAGACAGCTGGCTCTTTTTCAGTTTGAGGCATGAACAATATGAATAGCTGGGCTAACATCTTAAGGTATTTCTTCAGTATTACTCAAAGACCTTGGCCGGTCCTCTCAGTCAGTGGACCTGGAAAGTTCATGTAACTGAAACGTAGGTTCCAAATTGAGATGTTTTCTGTAGTTTGTCACATATGGATAGCTCCTGCATATAATACTGACCAAATCATCCATGGGCTAGTCAATAGATCATGCTCTTCTGACACCAACCTCCGGGTGGAAAATTCCTAGGCACATTCCCTTGATTGATCATAATTTGCAAGATCTCTGAAAAAATAACTGACACTCCTGTCATAATTCATCAGGACCATTTATTTTCGGGGGTTTCTGTCGAAGTCAGGTAGCTCGCAGTTTTAGTATGTGTGGCGATTGCCATTCACATATCACACAGTTGGCCGGAAGAAGAAATAGTAGTAGTAAAATGCGCATTGTAACAATAAAATAACGGAATCCAAAGTGTCACCGCATAACAACCCGGAAAACCGGAATTCATATCGTTATAAATAACTATAGCCTATAGTATTATAAGATATTGCAAATTGATAAATACCATTTTTGAAGTAGAGGGCGCAGAGCCGGCAGTGCTATAACCTGAGATAGTACAGTAACGGGCATAATTAAAACAGCGTGCAAAACATAATGAAATATTTATCATCATCAAAATAGCGACATGAAGGAATTTTGGATAGAACTCATGCACGTCGTTTTACCGCTTAGATTCCACATCATTTCAGGGCTATTTTTGCGATTTATGCATCTTTAATTTCATACATATTTGTCTTTCCTCCATTATCACCGCTGTTGTATGAAATGGTTATTAGAATGAGCTACAATCTATCGCTGGGTTGTTAAAATAGACGTAAAAAAAACCAAAGAAACAACAAGCAAAAGTAAGGTGGCTTTTTGTGGCATTTCAAATGCGGTGTATTTTTAAGACGACTGCACCATTCTCGGTCAGCCTTCTGACACCTTACATTCACCTGGAAAAAAAGATCTACAAAGCAGAGGTAGGAAACCATGCACAGCTCACCTTTGTCTTGTTCTTGGTCTTGAATTTTGCAAAGTGGCCAGGCTCTTCGCTTTCCCCTTTCCGTATTCAGATTGTGTACGCTGCTTAATTTATTTCTATCTGCACCTTACTCCATTTCACTTTTGCCCCCGATCGAGCAAGAAGATGCTCTTTTATTCAGGTTGCGCTGATATATAGTTAAGACCGATTGCCGACAACACGTACCAAGCCTGCCTATTGTTAAATCAGACGAATATACCTTCGAGTATCCTAGGGTCTTGGTCCCACAAACCGTGCCGCTGTGAATGAGAATCTGACAGCCTATTCAATATCATCCATCATCTTGATCATATGTAGTTTAGACAGTAGCTGGCAAACGATATGGGGCATCACGTACTGGGAACACAAAGGCGGTGTGAGAGGAAGGGTGGACGGAGGGGGATATGCATGTGCGGGGGAGTAGTCATGAGGAGGAGTTAGAGAAAGAAGGATTCACCCTCATCCGGGCTCAGCCTCTCTTCAAAGTCTCTCACTCTTCGTTTCTTCCCGTCAAACGTCGACCGAGGGTTTCTAAAGATTACAAATACTCAAAATGGAGAAATAAAGACAAAGGACAGGGGACGATAAAGGGAAAGGGCGGGGCGTGGAGGAGCGAAGGGGACGTCTTCGTCTATGAGCATTAAGGGTATGCTCTGGACATTTATATTAGAAACGCTGGGGCATATAGCGCTATCTACGTAGTTCAGTTTAATCCTTCCAATTAAACAATTAAACGTTGCTGCGTGCAAGGTGAATCTTACACTAAATTTCGGTATATTCATTTAATATATAGTATTGAATGACCATCCTTTTTTCTTGCGGTTTTCCACCGTGGATGCCGCATACTACACAGTAAGTCAGTAGCACGGCTGTCACACCTCGCAAGCACGACAATGCAGAAACATGGCAGAACAAGTCCGTTTGTCTTAGCACGGTTACGTCTATGAAACCTTCGATGGAAAGCAGGAACAAGACACGGCTGGCGTGATGAAGTGCGTCTTATGTCATTTACAGTTTGTGGTATGTCCAATTTCAATCTGAATAATTATCTAAAAATTACTTTGATCGCAGTCATCCCATATCCACAGCACCAGGAATCACTCGGGCAGTTTTCTGACTCCATTCAATTTTGAAGAGCTTTTCAACCCCAGAGACTGAACTGAGGGGATGAAGCCCAAGCATTTCATTGAAAAAATAAGCCCCTTTCATGGAAGACGGGGGTGGGGTGGCAAGGCACAGCTGACCTTTGGGGAATCTCCCCGCAAATACGATTCTAGGGCTGCTGGGAAAACACCAGCGACCCAGTGAAGTTCACAGCCCCCTCCGCGCACCCCCACCTTTTTGGAGGTCTTTCATTGGAGCTAAGCCAGAGAACACAGCCCGAGGGTCCTTGACAGAGAGAAACTCTGAATGAGGAAAAAAGCAGTAACGCTGACAGGGTATTGTTCTCTCAGTGAGAAATCATTGGCAGCTTTTATTAATTGCGTAATTTGTCATCCAAATGGAGGGGACATGTGGGTGACAAATGACACGTAATGTTCTACACAAAAACCCTCCGTTGTTCAGCATTTCCTTACCCCAGGATGGATATGTACATGTAGGATCTCCAAGGATTTCTGCCTAAATGTTCTGCAGATATTTGGGTCCCTTATTGTGCACAGGAGGGAGTATGTGTAGGGCCACAGCTCAGTCCCTCCAAAAAAGGACTGTCACTCTTACTTCTGCTAAGGACATTTCATGCTCTTTACCCCTACAAATTCTTGTGAATATATCCTTGGGAATAAATTAGCAATATCAACACTTTTGGACACTATTTTTTCTCCAAATGCACTCCCCGTGTTTGTTTATATGCAACAGAGATAGATTGTTTTGCAACTAGCATTTCTCCATGCCAGCGTACCGCAAGCACTTTCCAAAGGGAAGCGACCAGCTGCCCCTGGAGCATCTCCGCCTGACCCACAAGCGCCCAACGACAGCTGGCCAGTCCCTGCTTCATCACATAACAGAACACTGGGAAGCTGACAGTAGCGGGACAGTCACAGAGGCTGTGATAGTGCTTTTGGAGGGAAAATGGCTTTCTGATAAATGGGAACATTTCAAACAGACAAATGCCAGAGATATAACTGGACAGGCGTATTCCTGAGCTGGACCTAATACCATCTCTGCAGCTGTGATTTATGCTCTAGCCCAATTCTCCACAGGCACCTGCATAGCTGCCCGAGCTCCAGTAATATAGTTGTTAACCTGACCCTCTGAAACCTTGGTCATCTGAGAAGGTGGAAGGAAAATCATCGCCATAGGTCTTTTGTTTCCAATGTGGTTCCACCAGTGTTCATATTACCGTCTATTTTCACAATAACACTGCCTTTTGAGAATCTATATGTGTAGTAAATTATCCTATAGTAACACTTCCTTTGTAGCTGTTGGTGACCTGTACAGGGCTTCTGAATGCCTTCCCGAAAAGGTTAATAACACTAATAAAGACTTAATTAGCAGAGACAGCCCAGGAAAAGGAAACTACTAAAATGGAAGCACCGTTTCTCAGACGTACACAGCCAGTGTGAGAGCAGCACCCCCTCAGTCTGGAAATGGGAGATACAGTCACATGACTCTGCTGAAGAGAACCCAAAGACGTCTGGAGTTAGAGATGGCACAGCTGTACTTTGCTAAATCACATTTTCACTGACGTGATGAGAATGGTGTGAAATGACAAGTAGCCTGCTTTGAACTAACTGCATGACCACACAGCTTGCATTGGGATTATCTGCAGATAGATGCTGCAGCGATTCCGACATTTGGGCATCCAGGGTCTAATCGCACAGGACACAGAACCGCACCTGCCGAAATGCAGCCTTTAGGTAGTTAGGACAGCAATGATAGGCAAGAGGTCTCTTCACATTTTATATAGTGTAGTTTTTTTGGTTCTGTAAGTCACTCAATAATTGTTTATGTAGGAATAAATGTGTTATTTTTCATGTTGATCTTAGTCAATTGTCAACTAAGGACTGACATTTCAGAGAGTTTTAGGCACAGAGCAAATTGCAAGCTGGTATCACATATGTGAGCTGGCCTTAAACGGGATGCTAATGACAGCACGGCTAGGCGACTGTGTGGGATGCGGTAGCATCAAATATGAGGGGTACCCCTGTAACAAATATACTGAAAAAACAGAGGGACCCCTCCCTATACCAAACACTTGCCACAATGACATCAATCACAGCACACAGACAACCCCCCCCCAATCCAACCAGCTGGCCCTACTTACCCTTAACAGGCTAATCAGCCTCATTATAGCCAACTAGGTTTCATTTATTGAGGAATCTGTAGGCATGTGGCTGGTGACCAGTTACCATGGCAACAGAGAATGACTCAACCTCATCCTACTGTTACTACTGCACCTCCTAGTGGCTACAAGCAGCCACACACACTGCACTTTACACACATGGCTTCCCTGCACTTACTTTCCTTAATGTCATTTAAGAAAAATGAATCAAACTGCAGAGTGGTAGAGCAATTGGCATGAGGTACGACTGCCTTAACATCCTCTATTGAAGTGTCTACAAGCTTTATAGACCACCCCAACCCCCCCACCACCACCCCCTGTATCATTGCCTCTGTCTCGCTCCACTGATCTTATACTCCAAGGTCACTACAGCCAGTATTATTAGCAAACTCATTTGTCTGAGTGAGAGATCCCTGCGACTCCACTGCCACGATGAACACCTGATAAGAACCCAGTCAGAGCCACTGAAAGGAGGCTGGTGTTAATCTGCACATCCATGATTTCCTCTGGCCATCATATTTATTATACAGAAGCTTAATTCGGTGCAGGTCCAGGGAGCCTGTACACATGGTCCGAAAGCCACATTAGCAAGTGGCTCCGGCTGAATTAATAAACACAAACAGCACATCAAAGTATTAGCTAGACAGGATGCCACTGATGGCAGCCCTAGCACACACACTACACTGCATTTAAACATAACAATGAACTCAGGACATTTAATTAAGCCTTGAGCTGTTCACAGCTTCTGTGAACAGAGCTGAAAATGAACACAAACACAGGGATTATTTTCTAATTATGATCGCATTGAAATTCATGTAACTCTCCAAATTTACCTTAATTTTGATCTATCCAGTTCCTCCACGCTTTACCGAGGAATGTTTAAACATAAATCCTAGTGAATTCTAATCATCAGACTAAAACCCAAGACCCCCCTGTGGTCGCCAGTCCTCATTACACCATAGAGCAGATCCAAAACACACACACAGTTTAATTTATTATCATGCTTCCACTGTCGCTGACATTTTTTTTCTTATAAAAACTGTAACAAAGAATAAAAAGTCCATTTTAGTCTAAAGATGACATAATTACTGCATCCGCAGACTGGGGCTAAGTGGCAGGCTCTCACTGGGAGCCAGTCAGAAATAGCTTTCCTAGCACTTCCAACTTCCCCCAAACCTGGCACAGGATTCATCAGATCATTAACGCAGAAACTCTCACAGCTACTGGGTTTTCATTATAGTTCGTTATGGGGGAAAAAAGTGCTGGGATGTGTTCCAATAAAAACTGCTATAAAAATAAGTGTGGACAGATTCACAGTCTGTTTAAGTGATGGTACATGATTTGGGACTGTTACTGTATCTCTGCTGCTTACGCGACAGGAGCCACATGCCACATGAGCCACCCTTGCCGAGGCTCTCTGTAAAGCGGGCGCCCCCTGCAGGCTGGGCTGTCCCCGTGTGCCCCTCCAGCTCCTCTCAGGACATGCTGCTGTGGACCCTCCTCCACAGGCCTCCACACAAGCAGTTCTTCATCCAGCGCTGCTCCCACTGCTTCACAGCCGTGGTCTTGTTGGGCGAATGGAGCATGGTGACGCAGCCGCACCTGAGGCATACCCCCCCCCCAAAAGAAGAACATGGTCAGGACCCCGAGGTTCCCTGCTGTCCCACCGCATTCAGAAATGGCTGCTTCTGTACGTGAGCAGGATGCCTTGGGATACGTTCACTGCAACACCATGCTGAAGAGGCAAGGAGCATGCACTGATTACAGTGCATTGCCGCACCCACCACACGACAAACCACCTCAGGGATGAGAATCTGAGGCAGCCATGTGGTGGCTGATACCTCAGCACCACACTAGTTCCAATGGACCAGTGTGAGGTATTTTTCTGGTGGCTGGAGTGCCAATCCTGCCACCGGCCCCTAAGTTATTCCCTGTAAGTTGGAGGACCTACTTTTAGGGCTGGAAGTAGATTAACATCATACCCAGGGTGAAGCAATTGCAGGTTAAGAGCCTTGCTCAAGGGCCCAACGGAGTAGGATAACTCCAGGCATTCACGGGATTTGAACCAGCAACCATCCACTTGCTGGTACAGATTACAAGCCTCAGAGATACCACTCCGTCCCATGCTGAAGAGCGAACACTGATCAGCAAAATGAAAGAGATGGAATAAGATAGGGTGAAGATGGTGAGTGGCCATGTGCTCAGAACAGGACTGGCCCATGACAGCTTGAGTGATCAAAGAGCAGGTTCACACCCAGAAGGTTGTGTGTTTGAGTCCCCAGGAGGGCCTCACTGTCAATACGGATCATAAACAAGGTCCCTTAAAAAATCCTCAGCATCACATTGAGCTGCTTCTTTGCCCCAGGGAGGCACAGAATGAGCATAACTGATGGACAGAAAGACAGAACAGGAAGCAGAACGCAGTAAACAAGCTGAAGCTCAGAATTGGCAGGCGGATGGGAGGGGCTTCATACCTGGTGCAGGCCTTGCTGTCCTCGGTGGGACAGACACCCATGTGTAGACAGCGCAGGTGGTCCATCCGCTGAGAGCCAGGGGTCCTGCAAGGCAATCGAGGGACAGAAATGATGGTAAGCGTGCGGCTAGAGAGGCGAACCTCCCAGAAGACACAAGAGCGGGGTGCAGCCCACCTGGAGAAGACCTCCACCTGGGAGGGGGGGCCGGGGCCGAGCCCAGGCAGGCTGTGCGGCTTCCCGAACTGCAGCCGCAGAGGATGCTTGCCCTGCAGTTTGCAGATGATGCCGTCGTTGATGGGCAGCCAGTCGAGTGTGGGCACCAGCAGCTGACTGGGGAGGAGACAGCACTCGTCGATGAGGGGCTCGTCTGGCTCCTGGGGGTGGCCCTCATCCCGCACTGCATGGGGGGAGGACACCGTCAGCATCAGCTATTCACACAGCTTTTAATGACAGGCAGGTTAATCTATAGAACACACAAAAACTACCATCATGACGATATAATTATCAGATTCCTTTGGACCAACAGCGGGGTCACAGTGTGTCCCCGAAGCAATTAGGATTGAAGGTCTTGCTTAAGGGGCCAACAAGAGTACTATTACATCCAGACATAGGCAGAGATCGCTACCTTGCTAAGCCACAGAACACCCACCATTAGCGAGAGCTAAACCTGCACAGGAGTGTGATCACTAAAGCCAAACTCACTTGGGTCCCATCTGGGAGGCCCAAAATCACATCCCGAGTGCTACCTCACACATACCGCAGAGCCAGAGTTTGGTAAGCAGGCGGAAGAGCAGGAACATGCTGTCCTGGTTGTCCGATGTGGCCGTGTAGATGGGAAGGCAGCCTGGCTTCAGCAGGCCCCAGATGCGGATCACCACCATCATCTCGCGGAGCAGGCCCAGGGAGGGGCCATCACGCAGGAAGCCGAAGCCGGGCCGTACCATGGAGCCCTGTGACATGGGGGGAGCCAAGTGCGTTAATGGGGAGGCACTGCATCGAAAGCCGAAGTCGGGCTGTACCATGAAGCCCTGTGACATGGGGGGAGCCAAGTGCGTTAATGGGGTGGGGGGGAATTGCACAGGAAGCCGAAGCTATGCTGTACTATGGAGCCCTGTGACACGGGGGGGTATACCATGGAGCCATTACTTGTGGCTAACAGGGTCAGATCACTGGCAATGGCAGCAATAATCCAGTCTGTAAGCCGCACCAGTCCTCCGGTGTGGGGTCGCACTCTGTAACGATCATCATTTATGTTAACGGGTATGGAGCCTCACCTGGTTTGGCAGGTTGGCCAGCAGATAAAGCACAAAGTCCCCCACCCACTGGATGAGTTGCTGCAGGCTCTGCAGTGTGGAAGCGTCCAGTACAAATTCCTCTGTCTTTAGATTGATCATCACCTTGTCAATATCTGGGGGGGAGAAGGTGCAGGACACACGTGAGGAAGAGGATGCTGCAGTGTGTGATCACTGCAGCTCAGAGCTGCTGGAAACATCACTGTGCAAAATCACCTCAGATCTGTTCTTAGAGGCATGAGACACTCACTGCTTAATACTCAAGCATCAATCTTACTGCTGGATATCTGAGATTGGGGGGGGGTGCCTGTCCACTGCAGGGTGTGCAAACAAATAGACACACAGACACAGACAAAGACACAAACACAGAGTGATGCAGAGACACAGGATTCAAACCCACATCACGTCAGAGCTGCTAGTTGAGCCAGCCTGATGCCCATATGCTGTTATAAGCATATTATTTTGTTGACTTTCTGCATTTCTGCCACTGTTTACATGTTTACTTGTCTCTCGGGGTACCCAACAGCAGCGCCGCCCCCACGCTGATGCCGGGACACCGTGAGCTTGCTCCTCAACCCACAGGGCCGTGGGACTTCAGGGCTGGGCTGCCCCCCTGCTGACCACCCTGACAGCAAGTTCGGCATATTTTCCTCGCAAAACGAGACTCAGTGTTTAAAATTGACTTTATGCTGCAGAGGGAATTCTGCAGCGGCTGCCGAGTCTCACAGCCTGGTTCTCTGTGTCCGACCCATTTAGCTGCTGTGACATAAGCAGAGGGTTATGTCCTGTAGGGGGAGTCAGGGCTGCAGGGATGCCACAGGATTTGAACCCGTGTCCTGCTAACGGGCTTTTAATTCAGCCACATGCCGGTTCCTAGTCTGAATTACTTAATGCTGCTTTGTTTGTATTGTGGCTTTTGTTAGGTCAACTTTGAGATCGGAGTTGAATATGGGGCACGTTTTGTGATGGGAGGGGGGGGGTGACGCTTCAACTCCACCTCATCACAGAAAGTCACCAACCAGAGGCTTGTGGGGGGGGGGTGGAGGTGTGTTTACTAATGCACACAGAGACTGAGGTAGAGGAGGGGCTGTGGGGTCTCTCGTCGGCCCCATACCCGTGTCCGTGTTCTTGGCGCAGATCTCAGCCAGCCGGTCGCCGGGCGTCTTGTCCGGCGTATTGAGCAGGTGGGGCCGCAGCAGCGATTTGAGTGTGGAGCTGATGGCGATGAGGAGCAGCTTGGCGTGGAAGTCGCAGGCACGTGCTGCCGTGGCGGAGGACAGCTTGCAGAGGGACGCCTTGACGGCCACAATACGGGTCGACAGCACCTGCAGGGGGCGCCCACAGCCCCGTCAGTGTGAGGAAACCTGTGACGATCAGGCCCACCTATTGAGCTGTCCTGTTACATAAATAATCCATCCCACAATGCCTATTTAATGATAATATGACCTCCCCCCATTCAAGGCACCTTACAGTAGTGGGGCCCAAACCTCCATCCCCCAAAATCGGCAAAATATATCATTGA